AAAAAAAAAAAAAAAAAAAAAAAAAAAAAACGAATTCCAAAATATCTGAAAAAAATATATGTTATGCAGGAGAATAAACTAAACAACATTTGCTTCAACGTTACATTCAAATTCGTTACCAAATTTGAAATTAAAATCAAATACTAAAAATAAATAACAATATGAAAATTTATGTAGCACACCGAACATGTTCGGAGCTTTTTCGAACGTCCGAACATGTTCGGTGTTCAGCCGAACGCCACCCGAAAAAGAAAAAAGAAAGCAATTTGGTTTTTGATTTTTAACTCGAGTTTGGTTACGAATTGGAGCATACCTCAAGGCAAAAGTTGTTTGTATTATTATTTTACATCACGTATATTTTCTTCAGATGTTTTGGAGAAGTTGTTGTTGTTGTTATTTTAAAGGTTTTTATGTTTGCGTTCGGAGAGTTTCGACGCTCGTTCACATTTGGTCTCGAACGTTCGGGTTCGGTCACCGAACACGATGCTACACAAATAAAAATTAGGGAAAAAAAACGAAAATGCAATTATTAAGTGGGCGGGCACGTTTTTTACACCGCCATCTTTGACGATTTTTTCATTTGTTTTTTACTATGATAAATGTCATGAAAATTTATATATGTGTAGCTTATATAATAAAGAATTTACAAATAAAGTTTGAAAAAATAATAATTCGTACGTTCGTCCTTACAATCCTATATATATATGATGAGGTGTGAACCGACGATAGTCTGTAGAGTTTTCCATCTGGTGTGGGTGAGTGATAGTCTACTTTGATTTTGGTTAAGGTAGATTATCATTTACAGTGTAATCAGTGAAGGGATTCTGCAGACTGTTGAGGGTTCAGCCTCCTGATAAGTCGGGGAAACTCCGACAAAATAGTTTGTCACAGCCCCTCGTTTGTTGTCCTCTTCTCTCTCTCTCTGCCTACGGTTTACTGGGCAGTTCTATTTGTGACGATATATATATATATATATATATATATATATATATATATATATATATATATGATTGCTTGGTGGATCATAGGCACAGAGCGAAAATAAGACAATAAGTGGGAGGCGGTGAAAAATTGTTTCATTGGAGGTTCACCCGCTTATCTAGGATTCAAAGTGTGTTTATCAGATTCGGTGTCCGACCGACATTATGGCTGCACTTTTATTCAACCCCGCATCAACACCTTCGTTTTACAACATCATCAACCCAACTTATGTTTTGAGTTTCTTTGGTCGCATCTGATCATAATAGAGGTCAAATTATGAGCGAAAATAAATGCAATTACAAATAGTCAAAAACAACGACAATAATAATAATAATAATAAAAATAATAATAATAAAATAATAATAATAATAGTAATAATAATAATAATAATAAAATAATAATAATAATAATAACAATTTAGTAATAAAATGATAATGAATTTATTGAAACTCTCTTCCCCATCCAGTATAGTCGCAATGGGCGTGTATTATTTTCTCGTTGAGAGTTCCACCTCGACTCCACCTCCTTGCGCACTGACACTGCTAATGAACATCCTTACAGGTAATCTCCTTATATCCCTTCCCAATATTTTCATCTTCCTCCTTCTTACTTTTTTTTTTTTCCTTCTTCTTTTCCTCTCGTTCTTTCTCCATCATTTCTTTACACCCATTTGTATTCCTGCTCGAGCTTCTCAGTAACCCGCGACTAACAAACCTTACACTTGTCCGCCTAGGGTGCATATGGTCATAATGGTAACTAGATGAGGATTAAAAGCAATCCGTTAAACGTTATTTGGGAAGTAGCCCCTTCGTACATTCATCTTTATTTCTTCTCATCCATTTTTTCCTTCACCAGGATCTTCTTTTTCCACTTCTTTTTTTTTTCTTGTTCGTCATGTAATCCTCATTACCCTTTTGCACTCATGAGAAGTTTAACCTTGATTACCCTTCACCTCATCCTGTACATACCTGCTCCCTATTCCGGTTGAGGTGCAGTTCAAGCAAAGGGGTTGTTAGGAAGGAACGTCTCGGAGGAATGAGCAGAAAGAGAAAAACCCACAATGTTTGGTTTTAGTTCGACTCTGTGAAATGATTTGAGGTTTTGTTGTACCTTAAAATAAGGTAATGCTTGTGTCTTATATTTACAAGCTTGTAATTGCTGACTCAATTTTGATAACCATTTGATCGCGACATTAATATAATAAGGATATTCTTTGTCAAGGGACGCTCGACCCCATTCCCGACTTGTATAATAAAGTTTTTCCTCTAGTAGGAAAAAAAAAAACCATGACACATACATGTCATCAAGGGTTGTCCATGCTGTTGTGTCTTCATGCTCGTGGGAGTGTGCACATGGAATACGAGAACGGGCGAAAAGTCAGGTCCCAGCATCGAGACCACGAAAACGGTCGACTATATACTTCCGGACAAACGACGATAGAGATAGGTACCGCAAGGGATTTTTCCCTTCCCTACCAACAACGCGAGGCTAAGTCTCACTTATGGTGATTTTTCATTCCTGACGACTGATCTTCGTTATCTACAGTCAACAATTTAGAATTCGGGTCAGTGAGACTTGGTTCCGATAATGGGAAAAAAATACAAATATACTTATGCGAATATGTGGGCATATAGAGGATTGGCATAGACTGACAAAATTGCTCATTTTGCCCTGCCACCGCATAGGCGTAATTTTGCTCAAACGCGACAGCCGTTAGACAAAAACAAGTCAATTTGGAGAGCATGAGCAAAAGGTCCTCATCCGCCATACAAGGCCAGCAATACAACACAAGGGTACACCCACAATTTCGTGAGGCCGATTTATCATGACGAGAACGGGGTACACCTGCTATTTTGCACAAGGGAAAAGTTGGGTGCTATTCAAAATTGACAGGAGTCTGCATATAAATGAAAGTAGGTGTAGAGATTGGGTACATACAATATTCCCATATGATAAGGGAGAAGGGAGATGGGGACTGGTTTACATATCCAGAAACGATGCCAGTGTCCCCACTCCTACCACCCACGAGTAGCAACGGTGGCAAAGAACAACCATTCCCCATAGGCGATCTTGCAGGCAAAAGCAAATGGGGCACTATCACACACAAACATCACCGTAAAAGTTGCAAGCACTTGGCAACATGGCATCATCTTCGTCATACGAGGTAGCCCAATCGTCCTAGGTGAGGCCCATGAGGACAACAACCTTCCTCGTCCCATGTCCCCCCACCCACCTCCACTCGCGAATCACCCCTGTTTCGACGGCCTGCACGACCAGTTTCCGTGCGCAGGGTCACGCACAGTATGCCAAGCAGGAGGTCACATCTGAGGGCCCACCCCGCCCACTCCCATCCCCCGAAGGAAACACACCAGGAATCGAACCTTCGTTCACCAGCCTTTACGCAACGCCATGAATCATGATCTCTGACACGCGCTAAGACACAACAGACCAGAGTGGCACACACAAGTTGTTTTCCCGCCTCCCTGCACCGCACACTGACAGTGGACCAGGGTGGCGCACACAAGTTATTTTCCCGCCTTCCGGCATCGCACACAGTGGAAAACTAAAGCTACACGACGCATGTGGGTCCGAGGTCTCGGCCCGCATGTACCCTTGCAGTTTAGTTTTCTACTACCTGTGTGACTGTGGGACCACTGCGAACCGTAGATAATCTCACAAACGAAAGGTTGGATTACACACCCTGCCTTTTTGGAAGGGGAGCCAGCAACCTGCCGTTTTGTGATTGGTTGGTGCGTCATGTTGGGGTCATGCTGGGAAGGAGGGAGAGGCACAGGCGTTGTAGTATTCTATGGATTTTTTTTGGGGTAGAAAACTGCCGAGGATTTTCCACTTCTATTAATTTTTTTGGGGGTAGTAAACTGCCGGCGGATTTCCTCTTCAGTAAATGCACGGGGCAAGGTAATGCCAGGTTTTCTTTGTCAGAGCGTTGTAGTATTCTACGAACCTTTTTTGCAGTAGTAAACTGCCAGGAATTTTCAACTTCTATGAATTTTGTTTGGGGTAGTAAAGGGCCTCGCCACACCACTCTGGAAATGTGCAAAACACAAAAAATTGGCGGGTGCATCTGGCCGTGTTCTAGCGGGAAGTTCATTCTCAATTTGCACATTTCGAGAGTGGTGTGGCGACGCCCAAACTGCCAGGGATTTCCACTTCCCTGAATTTTGTTTGGGGCAGTAAACTGCCAGGGATTTTCCTTCAGTATATGCATGGGGCAAGGTAATGCCAGGTTTTCTTTGTCAGGGCGTTTTAGTATACTATGGACTTACTTTTGTGGGGGTAGATTTTCCTCTTCAGTAAATGCATGGGGCAAGGTCAGGCCAGGTTTTCTTTGTCAGAGAATAACTGCAGACACGTCCAGGGCCCGAAGGATATGGTTTGTCCAGTAGGAGGAATAGGACGTGGTACACCATGAACTGTTGAAAGGCAGACCTGAGTTCCATGAACTGTTGAAAGGCGGACCTGAGTTCGAATCGTGACCGGACTAGATGAACGAAACCAAATACGAGGATGATTCAACGTTCGTTTCCCGCCTTCTGGCTTCACACCGTTGTAGAAAACTAGACTACACGGCGCATGCGGGCCGAGACACCGGCCACAGCGGGCGCATGAAAACGAAACTACACGGCGCATGTGGGCCGAGACCCCGGCCACAGCGGGACCCACATGCGCCACTCAACGGGAACGTCACAGCGCGGGTACTCAACAGTGGCCTCGTCCCAATTCGAAAAAAACCCAAAATTTTTGGCAGCCCGCCCTTTTCTCAGGGACGGGAATTACCCTAAAAAAAAAAGAAGAAAAAAAAGGTTGCGGTACTCGCCGTCATCGATCCCGGGTGCGGGCGAGCAACCAATCAGGTTTTGAGAACTTGTCGGCGGCGGGGCTACTTAATTTGACTGGTCGGACCGCCCCGTTATCCGATGTGAGTCATTTCCTGTACGATTTGTTAACGACCTAGTGCGCCGTGCTTCTATAGTTCTGTCAACGTGCCACTTTCTCCAGTTCCCTTCATCGCTTAACCTTTTCGCCCGTCCGACTCGTTTCCACGATGGCGCCGAAAGAAGCATCGAAGAAGGCGGAGAAGAAGCCTGTAAAGGCGGAGAAGAAGGTAGTGAAGGAGGGCGGTAAGAAGAAGAAAATGAAGAAGTCGACCGAGACGTACAAAATGTATATCTACAAGGTGCTGAAGCAGGTTCATCCCGACACCGGTATCTCCAGCAAGGCCATGAGCATCATGAACAGCTTCGTCAACGACATTTTCGAGAAGTTGGCGGCTGAGTCGTCGAGGCTAGCAAGGTACAACAAGAAGCCCACTATCACGTCTCGGGAAATTCAGACTGCTGTGCGTCTCATCTTGCCAGGGGAGCTAGCGAAGCATGCGGTGTCAGAGGGGACGAAGGCTGTGACGAAGTTCACAAGCGCCTGATCTTCTTGAGTGAGCCGCCTTACTGTGCGCAGCTGCGCGCAATGATTCATGGTGTTCTTAAACACCACCACCATCTTCTTAGACATTTATTCTCCTTATTTGTGCAATCTTGGACGTTCCGAGTCCGAGGATCGCTGTGTCGTTCCGGTCAGAAAGAAGTAAGGCTTGGGGCATGGGGGCCTTGATGATGGTCGTTTGGCGTGGTGTGTTGTCTGCTGGGAAAAAGTCATGTGGCGATGTTGAGAGTGTCCTCCTTTGACGACCATGTACTTCTCTGTTCGTGTAAGCAGTATCGTCGCGCTGAAATTTAGTTCTTCCCTGCTTCCTGGAGTCTGGAGTTCTTATTTCTTCTTGATGGAGAGTCGTTGGGGTGAGTGGAGTGCGTTTGCTTCTGTGCGCGCGTAAGTTCGAGGATGATTATCGTTGTCATCATGACAACTGTTCCAAATCCTCCGCCTGGACGTCTACGTGGCGCTGCAGCGTTGCAGTTATCATTGTGCACGTGCTCTCGTCGATATCGTTTGTCGTGTTGACAGTGTCTTGCATTGTATCTGAATGTGTAGTTGTGAATTTGGATGTGCTTCATGAAAAGCAGTGGTCAGCGCGTCGGCAGCTCTAGCAGGAGTTTGACATCGCAGCGGATTATCTGCCACCATCGACTATAAGGATCTCGCCGTGGCCGAGGAGCGACAGCAGCGATGTACTCTCGTACTTTCATATGTCGAATCTGACACAATCCTTCCGTCCAAACTACTTGCAAGCCCTGTTTGTTTCTTTCCCTTCCCATTCCCAACCTCCCTCCCTCTCTCCCTTCCAACCCTACTCCCATCTCCGGCATTGGCTGGTCGATGTTTCCCTCCTTGTATTATAAATACTGTGTGATATCTGACTGTCTGTTTGTTCTTTCTCGTTCTCCCCCCTTCCTCGCTTCCCGTTCCTCCTGTCTTTATCTGTCTCACCCTGCTTGCCTCTATTCCTCGGTTTTCGTTCTTTCGTGCCACTCTCTCCCTCTCCCGCTTCCTTCGTTTGCTGAGTTGGCTGCCAATCACAGCCTCTGCGTCTCTTCGACATTCTAGTTTCGGTAACCTGAGTCCTGTATCCGCAATCTTCTTGGGTGCCTGCTTGTTCGTCGAGGTGCGTCGTGTGTCGTTTGAGCGGTCCATGGCTTCATCGTGAGAGCGCCATGGCGAGCACAATGGGAGACAACAAGGGAGCCGTTGATGAAACCCATAGGACAGCACCCACACGAGGGCGCGAGGAAGAAGGTAGGCGTTGATGCTACCCACAACACCGCCGTTCTTTGCAATGCTTGTAGCCTCTTCGCAATGACATTGTCAGTTATTTCATAGCCTATGAGGCACTGTCCGGCTCCGACGGCGCACCGTGTGCATCTCCCATCGTCAGGCTACGCACATCGGCCACAATCGCAGTATTGTGGGAGGTCGTACATTGGGGGATGTTCGTCGTAGAATAGCCGGTGACTGTCATACGGACCCCGTGTACGACTTGTGGCACTAACGTCGCGCCTGCTCGCTTCGAAGGATTGGTCATGCCTCTCTTCCTCCGGCGTCATCTTTTCTCCTTCTCTCGAGCTCTATTGCGGTGACGTGTTTCATGTATTCGTGGCATTCGTGTTTTGTGGTGGCGTGTCGTGTGATGCAGAGCGAGCGGGAGCGATCGTGGGGAGGGGAAGAGAGAGAGAGAGAGAGAGAGAGAGAGAGAGAGAGAGAGAGAGAGAGAGAGAGAGAGACGCTTGATCTACTTCGAGATGAGCCAGATTCTTCTTCCCCCCGACCTTCTCGGGCCTTGGTTCCCAGCACCTGAATAATCATGAATACGGACTGCACCGTCGTATGGCGATGCCCAGGTCATCACAAGTCGTTTCTGGATTCGTTGAATGAATATCTGACTCAGATGCATCTGGCTGCTCAGCTCATTTCGAGCTCAGATAAAAGTATTCGAGGATTGAAGGTTTTTGTGGTGGCTTTTCTTCCATTTCCCTTAAGCGAGGCACTTCTTGAAGGCATGATCTCAGCAGTCGTCAATGTGTGTGTTGTGACCTGAGCTAATGATAACCAGAGGTCTGTGCGTGTGTGTGTGTGTGTGTGTGAGAACAATCTGTCTGTGTGGAAGGTAGTTTTTCCCGTCGTCAATGGTACTCTGGAAAGAATCCAAGAGCAGAAAGCTCAAACCATTGTGAATGCTCACAATTCGAGGCCTCTTCTTGATGCTTTTGAGTGTGATGACTCTAGCAGCGCGTACACATACACATGCGAACAAGACAACAAACACACACACACACACACACACACACACAGAGAGAGAGAGAGAGAGAGAGAGAGAGAGAGAGAGAGA